ATCCCCATCTCAGCCCCACGGATCCCACCCCAGCCCCACAGGTCCCTGCACTCACCCCTGCTCTGGTTGTACCGGTCCCGCAGTGTCTCCAGGTTCCAGGCATCCATGTGCTGGTTCCTCACACAAATCTGAGTCTGGCCATCCCAATATCCCGGCTCGGCTCCATCCTCCATCCACTGTGTCAGTGGCACCGCCCGGCCCCGCTCGCTGTCACAGCGCAGGAAGGGGATCCCATCCAGGTATCCCATGGCCATGAATTGGGGGATCCCCGGGCTGGGCTCTGACACGGCCACGTGCAGGTTACGCAGGGAGTGGAGAACTGGGGGGACACGGAGATTTGAGGGGGTTGAGGGGGTTATGGATCAATGAAAGAGGAACTGGGAGAGCCGGGAAGGAAGTGCATGAGGTCCCAGTGTCCAGGAATGGGGGCTCAGGGGACTCCCAGTGTCAAGGAAAGAGGGATACAAGGACTAGGAGAGCTGGAACAGGGGTTCCAGGGAATCCCCGGGCCCAGGAAAGGGGTTCCAGGGGTCCCCAGTGCCAAGGAAAGAGGGGTCACAAGGTGAGGAGACCCGAGATGGCAGGAATGCGGGACTCAGGGGTCCTTGATGCAGAGGGAAAGGGGGAGTGGGGATTGAGAAAAGCAGGAATGGGGGTCCATGGGGTCTCAGGGTCAAGGAAAAGAGGGATCTGGGGATGGGGATGGCGGGATTGATGGAAAAGGGCGTGCAGGGGGGGATTGGTACTGGATAAGGGAGTGTAGGGGGGGTCTCAGTGCCCGGGATGGGAAATTCAGGGGGGTCCCAGAACCCAGAATCCCCCCTGGGACCCTCCATGACCCTCCAGAGACCTTCCTGGAACCTCTGAGACTCCCTCACAGGACGAGCAAGGGGTGGAGAACTGGGGGGACGCAGAGATTGGGGCGGGTAGGAAGTGGAACGGGGAGAGCCGGGAAGGGTCCAAGGTTCAAGGAAGGGACTGGGAGAGGCGGGATGCGGGATCCAGGGGGTCCCTGTGCCCAGGAAAGGGGGTCCGGGGGTCCCCGGTGTTGAAGGAAAGGGGGTCTGGGAGCTGGGAGAGGCAGGAATGGAGGGCATGGGGATCTTTGGGTCACGGGAAAGGGGAGGCTGGGGTTGGGAGAGGCCAGCAGATCTCGGACGCGCAGCTTGGGAGGCGGGAAAGAGACTGAGGGAGTGCAGTGGGAGAGAGAACAGGGGGGAAGGGGGAATTCCAGGGAATTCATCTGGATCCCATTGGATCCCCGCTGCGACCCCCCTGAGACGCCTGGGACGCCCGGGACCCTCTGGGACTCCGTTTCGGGAAGCGGCGGGAGTGGAAAACGGGGAGGACACGGAAAGTTGGGAGGTCTGGGGGATCCAAAGGTAGAGGAAAAGGGCAGGAACGGGGTCTGGGAAAAGTGGGATGCGCGAAAAGGGGCTGCAGGGGGGTCCTAGGCCCAGAAATGGAGATTCAGGGGTGTCCCAGTGCCCAGGAATGGGGGTTCAGGGGGGTCCCGGTGCCAGATAAGAGAGTCTAGAGGATTCGCGATGCTGGGGAAGGGGGTACAGGGGGGTCCCGGTGCCCGGAAATTGGTGATCAAGGGGGTCCCCGTAGCCAGGAATGGAGGTTCAGGGGGGTCCTGGAGAAGGGCACTGGGGGGTCGCAGGAGGTTTAGAGGGTTCCGGTGGCCGGAAATGGAAGTTCAGGGTGGTCGCGATTTCAGGTGTCCCACTCACCTCTTGTCGCGCCCCCCGGGTCCCAGAGCAGCCCCAGGAGGCCCAAGAGCAGCCCCAGACCCAGCGCTGGAGCCATCGTTCTGCTCCGCTGCGGGCCCGCCCGGCCCCGACCCAGCACTGGCCCCGCCCCCAGAGCCGCCTCCAGCTTCGCCATTGGCGCCGCTATTTCCTGTTCGCCAATAGCAGCCCGCTTTCTCAGTGACGTCACAAATCGCCGGGTAGATCCCGGTCCCGCAGGTTGGGACGCGGAAGCGAAAGCGACTGAGTGAGCGCGGTGCGGGGGAGGGGACGGGGGAATTCCAGGGAATTCCTCTGGATCCCCGCTGCGAGTCCCCTGGAGCCCTCTGAGAATCACCTGGGATCCGTCTTA